GTTTTTATGTTCTTATACAATATATGCAAGGATTATATATACGTTATTACACGTGTTACTCTGCACCTGTTGATGCGAGTCCTATATGCACGTTACTCTTGCGCGTGTTGTGTGCCCTGTCTATGCACACGTGTGTTACTCAGCGTGTGTGTGTCCTGTACAGGTGTTATTGTCATCGAGCCCAATACCAGTGTTTGCCCACCAGGCGGCCCTGGTGCACTGAGAACGTGGGGTTTGCATGAATTAGTTCTGTAGGTGTCGATGGAAACTCAGGGTCTGAGGGGGGGAGAGAGCGAGGGGATCACCCGCACCGACCTCCCATACATGAACAGCGTGTTATATAAAGATGGCCCTTAACATCCTGCGTTAAACCAAGTTTCTGTGTATCTGCACTACAGGTGGGCATTAAAGATCCCCAAAACACTGATCTTTCACTTCATGGCTTCATGGTTGTTTGCAAGACTTTGCTGTGTGTAAATCGGCTGCAGCATTTGCCAAAGTAAAACAGTCCAGACAAGTGAGAGGGATCAACGTGTGGAGGTTTGACAGTTCAAGGCTTGTAAATTGGTACTGATATTCTCAGACGTAAAGGCTTAGAGAGAGAATCCACCAGTGTGGAGATGATAAGGGCTCAGGCTGAGGACTTAAGGCTAAGATCATGAGAAATTTCGTGCCTTCATTCCCTCCTCATATTCTTTTAATATTCCTCCACTTCAAGAATCTTTCCAATTCATATTCGAAAGAATATATGGATTTTGTATTAGGAACAGGGACTGACTGCACTTATATAATGTAATAATAATCCTTGCATTCGGTATAGTGCCTCCCATCATCGAGACGTCTCAAAGAACTTCAGAGAATACAGCTGATAATTGCGCACAGCAGTGTTCCTTGGTTGCGGGTAGAGTTCTTTTTAGGAATTATTACCCCCGGAAAAGTGATCCGCCAATCAATTAACGACTGGGTTCCTACTTACTACTAGGCAAACAGAGACGTGTGGAGTGAGGAAACCTCCCTAAGGCTTCGCCCTGCCTGGGAATCAAACCCTGGTCCTCTTGCGTGTGACGTGAGTGCTCTAACCACTACACTTGCTGGGTGGGTGGATGAGGGGAGAGAGAGATGGCAAATGGCAACTCGAGTAAGCATGTCAACAGGGCAGGGATCGGTGTGTACCGTCAGAGAACCCCCGTGAAAAAGCCTGAGACGATGTACGTTGCCACGTGCACAAGCGACACGGTATACGCTACAGATAATTCTTCTTCCCAATTAAAACGCCGCCCGGGGCCATTAAATCTGCAGGAGATCGGTTAGAAAAGAGAAGCAAATTATACACAGATTTTGTTGGCTGGAAAATGTGAAAGTCTTTGACCGTTTGGGGGCAGCAGGGACTGTGTCAAACACCATCACATTGAGAGGCATCTCATGGTGTGAGGAAAGGAAGCGCTTAGCGCTGGGGCTACTGCCTCAATCTACTGTTGATTGGCAGGGAGTGT